GACGACCTCTGTTCATGCGATTGCTGTGGAAATATGTAGTGTACTGACGTCAATCACGTGGTTATCCAAACCAAACAAGACGGTGACGGGCAGAGTCGAAGAAGTATGTGTACTGCCAGCGTCGAACACACAAACAAGTTGCACTGGTCGAACAACGCGGACATGCAAACACTACGTACTCTACTCAAGTCAACCACTTAAGTTTTCAACACTGCCCGATGAGTAAACACTACGCCAGCTTGTGCAACTGATGTGAAAGAAAAAACAGCATGGAGTGGGATCACCTTTCAAGATACAAACCTTTGCCGTTTGTCCTTCTTGCATGAACCGTACTGACAACGATGCCTCATTGATTGACACACGTCACAATCTAGCTTGCTCTGTCATTGTCTGTACAAGCACGTGTCCAGCAAAACAAGTAGGTAGATAAGCAGGTCGGGAGTTCTCCTGCCGTATCACCATATGACGAATCCACGGACATACACCCTCTGCTTATCTCACGAATGCATCTTCGATTTGTTGCTGTCGCACACACGAAAACGGTAGCTTCTGTCCACACTGCAAGTGAGTGCAGATCTGCTTAGCAGTCTGATCGACTTCCTTGGTAGATATCAAACATCGGGTCTCACGACAGCGCCGCTGACCGAGAGGCAGGTGTGTTTACATCTACGTGGAACGACAGAGGCACCGCCATATCAAACTATTTGTCAAAGTGTCTTTTCAGGCAGCGCAAGCCAGTCAAGCTGGCCATCGTTTTCGAGGCCCTCCACGGACAAGGTATCTCGGAAGAGCCTGTAGATAAACGTATAGTCGGGCTTCTCCTGTGAAGCGTGCAGCAGCTCTCACCAAGGTTTCAGCACCATTCCGAAACATGCTGTGCTGCAGAAATTTCGCGGTTGAAGCCATGCAGCAACGGACACGAACAGGCGACCGGATGATAGAAGTCCTGGAACTTGAGGCCCTGGGTGTATCGGAGGAAGCGGGCAAAAACGTCGTGGCAGTCTTTGCACAGCTCCTTCAGCCGATGTGCTGACGTGCAAATCAAAAACCTCCCGCAAACCTGGGAGATGGTATGAACTAGAGTGACCCAGTTATTAAATATCCTCCACAGAGATCTGCTGCTTGAGTTCCATGATTTTCTCATGCTTCTCCTCCTGGCAGCACCGAGCATTTCTCGACGAGAATGATACCGAGGAGTTCGAAAGTGCGCAGGGCGCAAAACGCCGGGCTCCTTGGACTCGGCCTGGATGCCCTGCCAGGGCAGCTCGCCCAGTGCCAGATAAATGAGTACCTTTGACGAGGGGAGATACGTTGACTGTCTCAGTGGCTAGCTTGAGTCTGGGTGCAGCCCTGCTGGCGAGCTATGCTGATTTCTGCAGACTCCCGACTCTCCGAGCAGCCGGGTCACATAAGCCAAGGCTTCAAGGTCATCTTTGCAACCCTGCTCTGCCCCCTCGTGAGCACAAATCGAGGCCTCGGCTTGGGTGCTACACTGATCGCTGCCTGCAGGTGCCTGCAGGTGCCAAGGGGCGTAGCGGGCGGTGCCCACGAGGCTACGACGTGGCCCAAGCCTCGGCCTCGGAGCGACCAGCGGGCGGAGGGCTGACAGAAAGGCCGACGGCGCGCAAGCAAAACGATCGCAACTCACGGCTTGCGCACCCCGCCGCTAAGAGCGGCTCTTCTCCGGGTCCAGTCTCTTCGCGAGACCGAAGTCGATGAGATGAACCACCTGATGCTACAGCCGGCAGGCAGCTCTCTTATCGAGCAGAGACCATGTCCCGCAAAAGGGCTGCCCCGTCAGCAAACCGGTTCCAACTTGGAATCGTGTCCATGCCTATCTCCTACCGGTGCAGCTTGTCGATGAAACCATACCCCAACCCAACCGGCATCGCTCCAAGAACACATATAGAGACTGTACGGAAACTCTCAGACACACAGGACCAGTCTTGAGCCATAGTCATTCAGCCATTCCCGTGCCCAAAGAAGTCGGCAACTGAAGTCACTACGTGAACAGCTCCAAAAAACACAGCCACGGATTTTCTTCATGACTTTCAGGTCTTTGTATTCTTTTATGCGCAACTAGTGACAGATTTACTGAGGTCATGACTATACCCTCCGTTGGTTTTGGGTATTGTTGAGAATGCTGTTGATGATATGCCGTCTACAAGTCTACGTCTTATACCTTCAAGAACTCTGCAAAGCCCCTATCAATCCCCATGGAACCTTAGGAGAATGCCCTGTTGATGAATCCGAGGAGCATTGCGCCGATCCCCCCGGCCAATGAGGAAATTCTCGGGCTTGATGTCACGATGTACATAGCCCTGAGGGTTTAGGGCCGCAAGTGTTGGCTTTGCCGGGGTCAAGTACAGCAAGCCTTTGCTGAAGAAGACAGGACTATGCATCAGCGTTGCAGCTGGCGCCCAGGTCACGCTTTGCAGAACTAAACGGAAGGTTGACCATGCCACGTGGCAGGCAAGGCATGGAGACAGAGGATTTGCATACAGATTTCTTCAGTTATTCACTATGACGCATGGGCACAAGTATGCCCGACATGGGAATACTATCTGCCGTCCGGAGGTTAGATCTCTGTTGGAGTCGGGAGCAATATAATACAGCTGTCAGGTCAGAACAAGGAGACCTCACCATATCTGGCAATCCACATGATTCGTTCAAATGACGAGTTTGCGAAGGCTTCCAATTAGCTCTACAACAGTTGCACCGCCAACTGGAGCAGCAAACAAGCGGGGGAGAACCACAAGAAGGCGATCATGTTCCCGTTTGGCTGAAGATCACACCGGGAAAAAAAACGGCAGGTCTGAACGCATTCAGCCATGTCGCTGCCCTCGTCCCACTCCTTCATATACCCTGCCTTCATGTGGACATACTCCAGCAGTCGAACCATCTGCTCTGCCATCATAAGTAGGGTCTTGAGGCCTCAACGCATTGGTAACTGAGAGCAAAAAGCAGTCGACGGCTGTTGACACTTAGCCGCTGCAGGTAAAAGCCGAAGGGCCAAACTTCCGGCCACACTTGTTGAAGGTCGCTTCTATAGACGGCCCAAGCAACTCCATTGCCAGGAGATGATAGCAACCTGCCCCGGTCGTGTTCTCGCACTCCGGAACTATCTTGTGGAATGCGTGATTTTGCCGGCCAGGCCGCCCCCCCTCCCTGCGCCTTCTTTGCCCAAAGAATGGATTTTTGGGAAGCCTGGCGCTGAGAAGCGCTTCAGCACGCGTGCCTGCAGGGTGAGCCCGAGGCAAGGACTCGAATGCACTGGGTTTCGCATGTGAGATCACGCCAGGTAAGTATTATTAATCATCGTAAGATACTTCAGCTACAAAACTCGATCTAACTCTCTTTAGGGGTAATTCATTCGAATGTTCTGCCTCGAAGGTCAGCGAAGAGTGTTTCCCGACAGGATGCCTCCGGTGCGCAGCTGTGACAACTCAGCATGGCCAGAGCTTCGTGCAACGTCGTCGCAGTCGTGTGTTCAGTCTTTTTCGATGCCTGGTGCACTTGACAGCTGCTGCTGCTGCTGCTACTGCTGAACGCTGACTGTGATTGTGCATTCCTCCTCGACTGACACGTGGGAGTGCAAACGGAGCTGTGTTGGCAGAATTCAGATCTCATCTGGTCAGTTCTCAATGCACGTAGACGTGGACACGCTTGTACATGGACATGATGATGGTTGGGACACAGATGCACTTGGAAACGAAGTGCACGGGCCAGGATGTTTTCATGATTTCATGGCTTGGGCATGGATGAGCTGGAAAACAGATCAGGCACGTGCGCCCCAAAGAGAGAAGCGAAGGACAGCGTTCAAGTGGCCTAACGGATCCCATGCCTGGGATGTGTCCAGATCATCGAAAAAACGAATCAGCCGAAGCGGCATATGTTCCGAGCTCTACTTCGACGTGTGGCGAAACGGACCCTGGTGCAGCTGAGGTCAGACGAACGTTGCAATGCAGCCAGCAGGTACGAAGTAACGCCAGATACCGCCAGCCACACACATCTTGAGGTTGAGGCTCTTGGGCTGCACGCCGCCACCCCCCACAGTTCCACTCCTCCTTGTGGCTTCTCATGGTCCGGGCCAAGGCTGGCATCGGAGACTGGAGCAGCAAATCGCAGAGGCAAGCTGGTATTTGCCCTGCTTGTGCTTCCCCCTCCTCCATCTCCCTCACTCAAAACCGAGACTAAAATGCCGAGGACAGGAGGGAGCACGACTTCCATTAATTGAACTGTCACCATCACTAAAGTACCACCACCGATGTCTTGTGCTGGTCAATGTGGTCCTGCGTTATTGCCCCAACACGCTACTTGTTCACGAAGACTTACTCTTCCTGGGCTTAAGCACAAGGGGCCAATGGACACTGTGGCCTCTTCAACGCTACTGGTGCAGCTGAGCAACTCCACTTTCACGGCAAGGTCTTCGCCAGTCTGCACGTCCTTCGCCAGGAAGACCTGACCTCATCTGCTGGCCGGCACTCTCTTGACCTTCAGTTCTGCAAACGGAAACCATAGGGAGTCGTGTGGTGGCTGCTCAGATTGGGAGATGAGCTCACCTCACCAGCCCTTCGTCTTGCCTTTATTTCGGGTTTGCCATGGGGCCGAAAGATCCATGGCCCAACCTCTTGCCGAGAGTGAACTTGGGCTCTTCCTGGCGGCATGCTGTAAAATTCACCACAAGACCAACACAAGAAACCAGCACCTTCCTCTAGTCCGTCAACAGCAAGATCGAAGAACAACAATTCAAGTAAAAGCCAAGCCAACACAAATCGTGACTCCTGGCGCTGGGCTGCTGAGGGACCACGCTTCCACGGCATGGCACGGGGTCGCGACCCCTTGCGTGTTGAGGCATCTGGCACCTCATGCATCGTCCCCAGTAAACAGCTGCGGGATGGTAAGCATGACACGGGCCAGTCCGGCACTTCAGCCTCAATATCCTTCTGCAGGAGAGTGCACCCTGACCGGTTGCAAAGGTGCCCTGACCGCAGCCTTGCCTGGGGCCATTGTGATACCAGCAGAGATGCTCGGGCTCCTCCAACACGAGAACCTCTTGCCAGCTTGCAACTGTCTGCGACATGCTGTGATTGCGGCTCTGACTGAGACGTCAACCCTGCAGCCTGTAGCCTCTGAATCTGCAAACTCTTCCCCCTCAAAGCTAGGCGGCGGGCATCTTTCTCGCAATCTGCGAGAACCTGACACACTGACGTAAGGTGATATCTAGCCCCTGCATGTCCTTGCGCACGTTGCGACAGCATTTCAGTGAGTTCGGAGCTAATCGTAAGACGCGAAAGGAAAAGAAAACCATGATGATAGTGGCAGCTGAACTCACCACAGAATTTTCATCGGATTTTATCAGTGCCACATACACACACCAGCGACTCTGCAGGGGCGGTGTAGCTGCACAAGCGTCCATGTAGTAGGGTGGCAGTAGTAGGAGCACTGGGAGTAGAGGAGGCGGCGGCGGCGGAGGCGGAGGCGGAGGCGGAGGCGGAGGCGGAGGCGGAGGCGGAGGAGGAGGAGGAGGAGGAGGAGGCGCAGGAGCAGTATCCTTCTCCTCCTCCTCCTCCTCTTCCTCCTCCTCCTCTTCCTCCTCTGCCTCGTCCTCCTCTTCCTCCTACTACAACTACTACTGCTGCTGCTACTACTACTACTCCTCCTACTACTCCTACTACTCCTACTACTCCTACTACTACTGCTAGTACTAGTACTAGTACTAGAACGAGTACTAGTACTAGTGCTACTACTAGTGCTACGACGTTTGTGGAAACCCCTGATAGCAGCTAGCGTAAGCGTTGTCATCATCATCAACAACATAACATCATCATCCCTGGTGTCCTCTTCGTCAGTAGCAACATCCAGATCATCAGCATCAGGAACAACATCATCATCCTCATCATCATCACCATCACCTTCATCGAATAACAAAAGCAACGAATACAGCAGCATCGTTGCAACACATTGCAACTGTAATCGCTGATGGCAAAGGTCTGCCTCAGCGTTGTCACCGGAGGGGAAAATGCTCCGCACGGCCTCCACATAGCTGGCCTCTGTTAGCTTCTTGAGAGAAGAGTCAGCAGTCAGCACCCCAGCTTGACTGTCACAACTTTTTTGCTAGGATTTTCAGAGTACAGATGACATTTCCCGAGAGCCCGACTTCGTACCATCGAAACGTGATGGGCAGCTTGGCGGGGTCCATCCCGGCGCGGTCCCTGCACCATTTGGCCACGTATCTTTCCTGACCATATCTTGGTGGGAAATCCGGAGGCCGAAGCCAGGCAAGGGGACTCTTGCAAAGCCTGATTTCTGCACCAACGGTCCTGCTCGTCAACGCTGTGGAAAGAGACTCCCTCTGGGAACAGGATTCCCTGCAAGCGTACAAGAAGCAACAATTCAGGCCAAACCGGTGCAATTAAGGCCAGTGATGGACTCTGCCTTTTCTGCCTCGCGACACCGAGCCGCAAAAGTGAAACATGCTGAACATGCTTGCTTGAGAGCTCTTCACCTTCTACAAGTAGTGACAGCTCCAAGGGAAAGGGGGTTGGTTCGCAAAACTCGTCAGCAAGGGCACCTCAAGCAACGGGTAGCACCTGGATTCCTGGCGTTGATTCCCTTCAGGACGACAGGCTCTTCAAAGGCAGCTCCCAGCAGGAAAATCTGAGCTGAGAGACATAAATCGGACTCACTGACAGCCTTCCAAAGCAAACCTTTGAAAGACATCTGCCTCTGTACAATTCCCAAAAAAGTCGGATCCATGGTATGCAGAGGATACATAGTGCAAACGTCTGCATAACTCTGGAACTACTTCTGCTTGCTCAGGACTTCAGCAATCTTCCTGGAAACGATGCCAGGTGGGTCCCACTCTGGACCCATCATCGCCTCGGGGGCAGCCGGGGATTTGACGGTGTACGATCCCACTTCTCAGCGACAGTCATCGCAGACAGAAGTAAGTTTTTCCCTTACATTGGATCCAGGGATGCCTCGAGTTGTTGTAGATGAAACCAACTTGTATGTTGTTCGAAACATGTCTAACGTACAAGTGGTTAGTGATGGTGAGGTCTTTGCTCCTGCAAAACTCTCCAAGTTCGAGGCTGCTTTCCCCATCATGGCATTTCGCATCATCACCTGCCATGCGACTGCAACCCCACAGGGCGCGGGGTGGGGGTTGGGCGGACAGGTGACTTTTCGAGTACCAACTACCCTTCGCCATTGCTGCGGGTGCTGCACCCGCCTCAGTGACGTCGAGGTTCTGATTCCGCGCCATTGCGTTGAAGCCTCGGGTTTTGAGCAAGGGGATGCACAAAGGCGAAGTCCAGCCATGCAGAACTCGCCCTAACGTCGATTGCTACAACTGACCACCCTTCGGTTGCATCTCATCAACCTGAACCAGTCTTGCAGGCAGGAGGCTGTCTCTCGCCTTAGGTGGAGCCCAATCGCACTGCAACTGCTTCTGGCTTTGAGTAAATAAGGGCGTGCATTGCACCATTGCACTGGTCCCGCATGACCCCTTGAACTAGTCCTTGGGACAGCATGGACATCCCAAAACGACTGTGTATCGACTGCAACCCAAGGACCAGCGACGGCTCCTTCGGCTGCCAGGACAGCGGGGCTCTTTTTGGCACCTCGCACGCATAAACTATTGCTGTTTGCGGTGCCGTCACGGGCGGTGCCTTGCCAGTGTCGAAGGCATTGGACGCCTATCAAGGCACAAAAACTTCGACGATGCACGTTCCTTCAGTACTGTATTTGGGTAAGCGCAAGCGCAGGTCAGCGCAGGTCAGGCTCACAGCCGGCCTTCCCTGTCTGTGGTGCCGCCGCTGCTGTGCCCGCAGCGAGCAGTGCTGCGCTGGGCGCCCGCCCTCAGGCTTTGCGCCGAAATCGTGCTTGACTTCAGCCCCTCTCTGAGGATCTGACTGGGCAGCATGGTGCGCCACGGCGTCTCGCGGGCGGGCCTCAGCTCGAAAAAGCTGGGAAGCACGAGCTAATCCGCAAGACCTGCCACAGCACTCGCGGAAGAGCTCTCCTGAAAACTTAGGTCGTCGGATGAAGCAACTGTTTGTCACCCGCAGCGTTGGAGGTGAAGATCTTGGAGTTGCCCGTGCACTTTGCCACAGTCACCTCCGTACTCAGGATCGCCCCAACAAACGACTTGGCCACTGGCACAAATCGCTGCGAAGGCCTTCTGCGATCCTTTGATCTGTCGCACATTCTGAAGCTGCTCCTTCACACTGCTGCTGTCACCGCCTGACCCGGCTTCGCCCCAGGTGACAACGCGACCGTTGTCAAGCAAGGCTGCAAAAGCCTTTAGAGAGGAATCGATTTGCACAACACCTCTCAGGTCTGATTGTACGGCCCCGGAATCACCACCAGAAAACTTGTCGCCCCAGGTCACGACTCGACCATCCTTCCGAATTGCCGCAAAGGCACGGCCAGAACCCTGCACTTCACACACATTCTGCAAGTCCATCTGCACCTTGCTGCTGTCACCGCCATAGTACCGGGCACCCCAAGTCACCACACGTCCATTCTGAAGGATGGCTGCAAAAGCTCCACCGGATGCACGGATAGTCTGCGCATCGACCAGTTCTGTTTCGACGGGGCTGCTGTCACCTCCGAAATACGGATGCCCCCAGGAAATCACTCGGCCATCCGCAAGCAGTGCGGCAAATGCCCCAGAAGAGCCGATGACTTGGTGCACGTGCTGCAGCTGGTCTTTCACAGCATCGCTGCAGCCACCCAGATCCTTTCGCCCCCAAGTCAACAGTCGTCCACTCTCGCAGATGACGGCAAAGGCCCGCTCGGTCGATTCAATGTGAATTGCCCTGAACCCTCTGAGTTCTTGTTCTATGACCTCATCACATCGGCCACCGAAGTACTCATCGCCCCATACCACCACGCGGCCGTCCCGCAAAATCGCAGAAAAAGCTCCGTCCGAAGCGCAGAGCTTCTCAACGTCACGAAGCTGAGTCTCCACGGTTCGGGCGTTGGTGCTGCCCCCAAATTCCTCGTGACCCCAACACACGACGCTTCCGGAGGCAAGAATCGCGGCGAATGCCCTCCCTGTTGTCCGCACCTCCTTCACATTCTGCAGCCGATGCTGGACTGCAGAACTATTGCCGCCAGCGTCCGGGCTACCCCACGTTATCACAGATCCATCGGAGCGGATGAGAGCGAAGGCCTTGGCGGTGTGACTGGACGCCAGGGAAGCTTGTCGGGCCGTTGCATGGACCGTGAGGGTGTCAGCGTCACCGCCCTCCGCGCCTTCCCACAGGCCGAGGCGCCTCTCCTTCAGTTCCTGGAGGGTCAAAGCAGAGTCCAGGAGCTGGCCGCATGCGCTCAGGCTGCCAATGCCAATCTGGAGCTCTTCTCTCACCCACTCTTTCAAGCCTTCGACGGTGCAGTCCGATGATACGTCTAGAGAGGCCGTCTGTCCACTCAGCAAGACAACGTGTACGAGAACCATGGAGAAGCCAGCAGTGCATGGCGACGGGCAAAGTTGTCAAAGTACAAAACCAGCCAAACGATCTGATAAGACTAGGAACCCCCCGGCGGTCCAAAACCTCACCTTCGAGACCCTTCGACTCCAAGTTTACACCTTCTTTGTGGAGGCCTGAGGGTCCTGGACTAAGGGTTTACCTGGACCCTGAAGTGCATGAACATCTTTTGGAGAAGCTACCTTATTGTGAGCTTCTGCGCATTTTGCAAGCTTACTTGTAGTGTCACGAGTCTTTGAGCGATGTTAATCAGTTTTACACACGACCCCTAAGACTACCACAACAACAAAGAAGGAAACCGACCGCTTCGGGAACTACCTCGATGCCAGGCTCACCTGTTTGGCCCGGAGAGTTATGGGAGTCTATCGACCGCGGCCACTTCCGTGCCTTCTCTCGTCAATCTACTTGCTATAGGACGGTTCTTGGGACAGGTGCTTGGATCTGTCTGACTTGTAGGGACGTTCCCTGCTTTTGATTCTGAAGTTCTGAGTTCTTGTTCGTGGCCACTAGTGCATGTGATTCCCATGATTACTTGGTTCCTGACAGGCGTGGTTCGGAGTGGCTCTGTGCCGGCCGCCGTGACTCCTGCACAGCTCAACACCGGAATCTGTCGTCGCTCCGGACTCGCAACAGACTCCTCGGCGAGGCAAGTGATCCGGGGAGGCTCCTCGCAACTTCAGACAATGGAAACATCCGAGGCCTTCACAAGCATCGGCTTTCGTGCGGATTCCCCAGCCTTTTTTGCGGCCTCCTGAATGGCCTTCATGTACTGGGCCACCTTTATACACGCAGGCGACGATTCCCTGAAGCAGCTGCCTCTACTGGCGCAGTCGCTACGCACTCCATGCATCAAAGGGTAGCAGGAGCAGAACATGGGAACTCTCGAAAGTGAACAACACACTTGGACTTGGCTTTGCAGTGATCCCTGGCCCCGAGGAAGGACTCGCCGCAAGCTGGTCGCCTCCCGGTGAGACTTCGCAGAATCATCGTCCGTCCGGCGGCCTGGGAAAGCCACGACCGGAATGAAGTGAAGCATTGTCTGTGGCTGGTCGTGCTTCGGGCAACCCGGCTTCCCAAACTGTTCAAATCGCTCGGCTCCATGCCGCCTTCTGTGAGGATCGAGGCGATCTTCCGAGACCTATGCTCTCAAGCTGCCGGGATGGGACTCATAAGCTTTGCCTTTTGGATAGCGTTTGGGTGCGACATGAGACGATACGGCTCTTGCACGGCCCCCGGCACCATGCCAGGCGGTTCCCAGTTCGGACCCAGCTCGGAGCTTCGACCGATGGTCGCAGCCTTCATCATCTCCTTACGGCCGATGACGGTGCAGCACTCTTGCGAGCAGGGTCTCCCCGCTTCGCGTGCCTCTGTGACGTCCAGGCGGTTGTGAATTCCGCCAAGGATGGAGTTCAGGCCTCGGGGAACTGATTGGGCAACGTGCGGCGACAGTACCTACACGCAAAAGGGTCTTCGAAATGAGAAGGCACATGCTGGGCGCCAGTCTAGCTCGACCAAGAGATGCCTCACAGCATGTAGCAGATTGAAGAAGTGACTTGGAAGCAGTGCAAGCGGGCGTCAGTAGCAGATGTGATGCGTCGGTGTCTCAATAAACGGCTGATGTGAAGGAGTCTTACGTGTCTTTGGGGCGGATGTCCCAGCAGCCTCAAAGTCTCAAAGCTCCGAACGTGCTGCTGGCCTCGCCCGGGCTCCAATGAACCGTCGACTTGGACATGTTGCCTTTGATGAATTTGCGGTGGCACGCCCAATCAAAGCGTGGCGTGCTATGCCTACACTTCCAAAGGCGAGCTGTCAACTCCTAGCGAAGCTGCGGCTTTCGGATGCTGCTGCTTTCAGACTCGGCTTTCACTCCGCTCCGCCCCTCGCACAGAGAGAGTGAGCGGGAGAGGCAGATGGAGAGGGAGGGAGAGATCAGGGTGGGCCCTTGAGCTCCGCCAAGCTTTCTCGAAATAGCTGAGCTGGCAAAGCACCGAACAGGGTCGAGGAGTCGAGGAGTACGAGCCCAGCTGCCCAGGAGGAGCAAGTGGCAAAACGCGGTTTGGCTGCGAGGTATGTATGTATGCATGCATGCATGTACATATCTATGTACCTATGCATGATTATATATCTATATATATATATATATATGTATGTATATTGTCTAGGTTTTTTGCAACTGGCATACTGTATGCCATGGCCACAGACATAAACTGTATACTACATGTAATATATATAAGTTGTGGTGGCGTCCACTTTGGGTGTTGAGGATGACAGTTTGCCAAGAGTAAATTGGCACCAGATCGCTGTCCATGTGTCTGCTCCAGTTTGTTGTGGTCATGTCACGAAGCCGGCCAGTACGCCGCTTGAGCAGTGCACGTGACATCAGGGAAACGTCCATTGCCAGATTTGCCACATATCACTCCTTCTCGTGGCTAGGCTTGAATAACTCTTCATCTGTAGCCTGCTCCTTCAGGCGCACCCATGGCATGACGAAGATGACCTCATGCCCGTTCCTGCGCGAAACTTGCAGCACATGTCCAACGTCGTGATCTGAGCTCTAACGACAAGCAGGGTGGTAGGATCCCCAAATTGCTCCTGGCGAGGTGAAGGCTTCGTAGTAGTGGATTTATGGACGGCCCAGTCCTCTGGAATCACGTCACTGTAAGACTTATACTATACAGCCTGTTCTTGAGGAAGCCAGCAATCCGTGCATGTTTATCCGAACGTCTGAGCAACGTGACGTCCACGGCAGCGCCGCCGTAGTGATGACTGTGACGTGCCTGCACATGCTCTCCAGCAGTGTAAATATCTGTAGAACAAAGACTCGTCCCTGAAACAAATCTCGACAAACCGCAGGGTGCCGCGCCTTGCTCTGCTGCGCAAGTCTGAAGCTGTGGTACACCTGCAAGGTCGTGAATGTGATACTGATGACCAGAGACAACACATTTTGTGAGTCTGAATACTTAACATTCAGCATGCGAAAGGCCACACCAAGTTTTCGACCAGGCAGCTGTGCTAGTCGGTTTTGCCGCGGCCCGGCACTCACGCAGTACTGTGCAGCATTCCCTGGATTCCCGTCGCGCATAGTGCCTGGGAAAGGGCCCCAGCGAGTAGATCGGAAGGCCCTTCTGTGCATCCTCGGCTGCGCGCAGTGAAAACTAGCGAAACTCTGCGGGCCGGAGGCCAAGGAGCAATGGGAGTTCGCCCGAGCTGCTGCACCAAGGAAGCGCCGCCCTCCTCGCCCTCGCTAGACCTCTGGCAGCGTTGAGAGATAGAGCCTAAGCTTCGCATCTACGCTCCGGCCTCGTCTCGGTGGTGCTTTGAGTCTGTTCGTTGAGCATCCCCATAAGCCAGCTTACGACCTCGGGCCGCGGCTCCGGCAGGTGCTTGATGCTTCAGGTCGTCGTCATGCCGTCAACCCGAATTCGTACCCTCGTTCGTAAAGAAGCGGGAAGCCACTCAGTGCCCTCGCAGAGGGTACAACGAACTCGTAGACAACCTCTGACTCTTAGAAAAGAATGTGCCCGCTTCGTGTCTAGATGGAAGAGATGGGTTCTTGCGAGCAGGTCGCTAGTAGGGCGATCTTCGGCTTCGATGCATTGCCAACGTCTCACGCGTGACCCTTTTTGGGGATCTGGGTTCGCGCTCTGTGCCAGGGTGAGCATGAATAGCCGCTAAGCTCTCTGTAGAACCGTCTGTTCACTCAGCCACCCTTGAGCTAAATCGAAGAACCACACATGCTCAAGGAAGGCCTGGTGCTTTTTGCATCTTTTTGCAGGTGAGCAGCTCCTGAGATGAAGGCAATGGCAGACTTGATCGGGTTTTGTTCTTCTTCGCCGTCCTCGCTCCACGGCAGGTCTGGCTGGCCAAACAATGCCGCGCAAGACAAGACTCCAAGTGCTCCTCCCCTGGCGAAGCAAGTCGCACCTTGGCGGAGGAGACTCTCGCATGTAAGACCTGTCACTGATGCAGGGAACATCCTTCGAGTCTGCCTGGCAAGGCTCAGCTCGCAGCTATTCGCCATGGAACTCTCTGCCGCAGCCGTCGATGTCTCCTCATTGGGATTTGCCAGAGCTCGACGCATCGATGAGCCATGATTGGCCCCTTCCACAGCCCACAGCCTCTGGCGAATCGCCGCCGCAAGGGGCAGCGCCGCTCCAAGAGCTCCCTGGCCTTGGCACCAAGGGGCGCAGCTACGTAAAACAAAGACCGCTCTTTTTTTCTCCGCTCATCTCCTCTCCGTCTCTCCGTCTCACTCGTCTCATTCCGTCTTCGGCCGGGCCGGGCCTGGGAGGCTCCGCTTCTTTGGCCGCGGGGCCTCGGCTGCCAGGTTGCGAAGCAAAGCTTCATTTGAAGAAGAGGCGCGGAGACCTCTGGGCGGCTTACCTCGCTGCAAATGCAAGCCTGCGCAACTACGAGACTATAATCCCAGGGCTGTCAATTCCACAGCAGACCTGAGGTTTGACAGGGCTTGACGGGGACGCTATGCCAGCCAGTGAGCTGGGGATCGCATCAGGTCAATTTTACCACTCCGACTCAAAGGGTGACGAAACGAAAAGGCTCGGGCATCATGAAGGGTTGGGAAGGGAAGCTCACGGTCCAAGTGCATCGCCTTGAGCCCTTCGTATCTCAATAGGGAAGCTTCCGAGCCTCAGCCACCCCATGATCATGATGATGATAATGATGAAGATAACGATGACGACGATGGTGATGGTGATGAGGATGAGGATGAGGAGGAGGAGGAGGACAAGGAGGAGGATGAGGATGATGATGATGAGGAGGAGGAGAAGGATGAGGCTGATGATGATGATGATGATGATGAAGATGATGATGAAGATGATGATGATGATGATGATGATGATGATGATGATGATGATGGTGATGATGATGATGACAGAGCTGTTGATGATGGTCACTCTAAGAAACTCTCCCGCAACAGCTGGCTGCAGGCGGT